GGCGGGCAGCAGGCGCGCTGGTCAGTGAGGACACAGGGGCCTGAACCTGTGCACACAGGCGTAGGCGCGGCCTGAGGGGGACAGTCAGAGTGCCCGACGTGGTCAAAGCTCCCAGAGGCTGGGACTGGGCCACGTGCACGCACGCTTGTACACGTGCACGCTCACGCGCATGGCGGCTGAGTGGGGGTGAGTGGCACAGGCCCGTGTCTGCCTCCTGCCCCGGTGCCAGCCAGACACCCAGGTGCCCAGGCCCAGAACATCAGCCGCAGCCCTCTTACCCACCTGGATTCTGAAGCGCTCTGCTCGAGTGGGCGCCGCAGGGTCGTGAAGACTGTCGTGCCGTCTCCTGCCCGTGTCCCCGGGGGGCAGCAACAGGTCCGCCGACCGCCCGGTGCAGGAATCGCTCTGGCTCAGGGGGGATGAGGTCTGGGAGAGCAAGTCTTGGCACTGCAGGGAAACAGTCCAGGTGGGCCTCAGCCTCTCCGCCCAGCCACACGCCTGACGCTCACCGTGCTGGGGCTGGTCCGAGCCAGGCAGGGGCAGCCGGTCAGGAGACAGAGGTGCCAGCAGGGACCAGCAGGAAGAGGGCTAGGGCAGAAGGGCTGTGGGGCAGCCGGGTCAGTCACAGCAAGCACGGCCTTCCCGGAGCCGAGGCGGCCCCCCGGCACCCACGGTCCCTGAGAGCTGCCCGTGGCCTGGAGCCCACAGCGAAGGGCGGTCACAGGCCGGGAAGCCGCTCTCACGTTATGGGAGGAAAACCATCGGTTACAACCTGGCACACGAACAAATCCTAAGCTCCTTCCTGAGAAACACGAGCACTGCCAGCCGCGCCCCCGGCCAGTCTCAGGCAGGACGCACATCAGTGGCCCCGGACTGACACTGCAAGGCCAGCTGCGCTTCCATTCCCAGAACATGGCTGGCCTCAATGTTCTCATCTGTGAGAGGGGGATCAAAGAGTACCCGCTTCTGGACGCTGTTGGAGAGTTCAGACGGATGAGGATGTAGGCCAGGGCCAGCGCTTACCAAGGGCTCCGGGCCACACTCTTGGTGCCCCCAGGGGTTTGGCCTGGCTCTCCCGGAGCTGCGGCCTCAGAGCCTCCCTCATTTCCTTAATCAGGGACACCCCTAGCTGGGCAATGATCGCCTCTGGGGCTTTCTCTGAGGCTTTCTCCCACCGCACCCCAGGAATCGTCGGAACACCTGGGGAAGGGGCTCAAGGCTACCAGTCCTCAGCGGGGTACATTCCTGGCTACCTCGGGGTCATGTCAGATGGCCCAGGAGGGGCAGCCCGAGCGCCCAGCCCCGCTGCCCTCTGCCTGCAGGTGCCCAGCTGAGTGGAACCCCAAGCCCCAGCCCAGTCGAGCCTGGGGTCTGTGCACTGATTTTTCCTTTCCCCAAACCTCATTTTCTACTTTTATAACTGCCTCCTTTACCGCAGGCTACCTTGAGCTGCTCTGAATGTAACGGGAGGCACTTGATTTATAAGTAACCAACTAAACTACTCTGCGCTGTTGGCTCAGGCCTCTGGATCTTGAACAAAGCAGGCCCCAGCAACAGAGGGAGGGGTGGTTTCCTACCACACGGCTCAGGGCGTGCCGTCTCTGCAGACCCCGACAGAACGCTCTTCAGCGCTTAAAATACAAGAACAAGTCACGCCTTCCTTTCTGTCCCGCTCCAACTCACCCTCAGCTGGGAAAACCTTGGGGGTTTCTGGGGTGGCTCCTCGTAGGGCCTGTCTGCAAGGGACGCAATGATGCGCTTGCGATGGCCAAGCAGGTGGACCTTCAGGACCTGGGCGGTGGGGCAGGGGACAGGAGAGGTCAGGCAGCTGGCTGGACCCCCAGCCCCCCGCCCCCCAGGAGGGCTGGGCCAGGCTCCGCAGAGACGCAACTCACGTTGACGAGCTCCAGCTCCCAGAGGTTCTTCACGGTGTCGATGGAGCTGTAGCCGCTGGACAGGAAGGAGTGGACGTAGTCCTGCAGCCCCAGGGAGTCCAGCCAGGAGGGCACCGAAGGGGGGCTGTTCCCGTCATAGCCCAGAGCCTTCACCTGTAGGGTAAGAGGGAGTGGGACAAGTCTCAGCACTCACAGGACCAGGACCAGGGATGCTGGGGTGTAGGCCAGCCACACAGAGCACGCACTCCTTAGAGTAGAATCCCTTCCTCCATGTGGCCGATGCTCTGCTCCTGTCTGGGCACAGGGCTGTGGGGAGCCACCAGAGCACCCAGGTCTGGAGAGAGGCCCTAGCAGGTGAGGCTAGGAGGGAGCAGGGTTTACAGAGGCCCACCCTGTGCTCTGAGGGCCAGGGATATGGACGGGGATGTGGCACCACAGCTGAGGGTGGGCTGCTGGGGCCCTCCACTCCTCTCCAGGGGTCAGCACCAGCGGGCCTGGGCTTCAGGGCATCAGCAGAGATACCACGAGGACTCTGGGAGACAAGCCAGGCCTGTGGGCATGGGCTGCCATACGGGGAGACCCTGCCTCCTCCCTCACCGCCTGACAAGGTCTCATCGTCTCTGCCACTCTGCTGGCCCAGAGGCCCTCAGGACTTGGCGAGGAGGCCACAGGCTGGGTGCTGGCCTGGCCGTGCTCCCGGGAGGGGCAGAGCTCCTTCGCCGTGCCCGGCCTAGGTGGTAGGGGAGACCCTGGTTCCGGTGTGGGCTGGAGCTAGAGTCGCCGGCAGTCACCTTGGGCAGGGAGCGTGCGGCCTGGAGCAGCTTGCGCCGGTGCTGGGGGTCGCTGATGCCGATCTCCCGCAGGTCTTGCTCTTCCATCACGTTAGCCCCCTGAGAGCAGAGAGGAGACGTCAGCCCCTCCTGGCCGATGGCCGGGGTCCCCGCGGGTGCAGAGCAGCCTTCCTCGGCCCGCAGCAAGTTCTTCAGCACAGGTGTCAGGGTGCCGGAAGCTCGACTCGGGCCGGAAGCTGGAGAGGTCACCAGTCTGCCTAGACTGCCCACCCCGGCTGAGGGCTCCCAGGGCAGGGCTGGGTCCAGACCGAGAGTGGGTGCTGACCGCCAGGGCAGACTGGGCGAAGGGCCCTGCAGGCCCATGCCCGTGCACCCCTGAGAGTGTGTGCTTTGTTCTGGGGAGCAGGCTCCATGCCCCAGGAGACTCACTCTGGGGGCCTCCGAGGAGTGGCCTTACAATCCCGAGGCTGTAACAGCCACTTAAGTGGCTGGTGACCCAGGCAGTGGAGGAGCCAGCTTCACCCCAAGCAGGAGGGAGGCTTAAGGGGAGGCTGTCAGAACAGACTTCCCTCCCCGGAGAGAAGGCAGGTCAGAGCTGAGCCAGCAGGGGCAGCTCTTGGCGGGTGCCATCGGCTCCCGCAAAGCAGCTGGGGGCGAGGATGTCCACGCTGAGCACGCGGGATGCAGTGAGGACGGCTGTGTCCACTGTGCGCTAGCTAACTACGCGTCAGGGACCCAGAGCTGCTGAGTGGAGGGTCCCACTCCCGTGTCTCACGGGTGAGGAAACTGAGGCATGCAGAGGTCAGACCTTCCGGAAGTCTCACGTCCAGGGTGCAGCTAAGACGGAATCCCTGCGATCTGCCAGGTTCCTAGCTCCAACAAGGGTGACGTTTATTACGACGGTTAGTAAGACGCCTTTTCAGATTCGGTTTAGAAGTACACAGTGGAGTCTACAATTCGAGGCTGAGGGTTCTGCCCCACCCCCAGCCACAGTGCCACTGCCAGTAGCCGCCAGTGCTGATTCCTGGCCACGCCGAGCCCAGCTGGGCATGCATGTGAATGTGCCTGCCCAGCCCAGCGGACACAGACGCAAGCCTGTGAGAGCCCTGCATCCCTAAATGCGCCAGGAGGGGACGCCACGTCGGACTACGCAGCTGCGGCTTTTCCATGAGCTTTTGATGACCACCCAGGTCAGGGACCGTTGACGACACACTCACGTCCCCAACAGTGCCGCACGGACCCCTGACGTGCAGGCATTTCTAGGCTGGCTATCACAAAGGAGCCTGCGTGATCCCAGGGTGGGAGGCACTTCTGCTCCCCTCAAGACGCCCATGCTGGACCCCACACTGTCAGCGGTCCTCAGAGAGACGGCCCCTCACTGGTCCCCACCTGCGTGTTCCCTGTCAGACCACCGCATCCCCAGTGCTGCTGGGCATCTTGGCACACTTGCTTCCTCGAGCCTTTGTGAGGCCCTTCACCCCTCGCGGACACACGCTAACCTGTTCAGGTGCAGGGACCACGGAGGGAGGCCATGGTGATACTACTGTATGGCCCGAGACCGAGCCCAGAGAAGGTCCGTAGCCTGCCTGGACCTCGCATTAAGTGGAAGGTGCGTGCAGCGGGGTCCGGCCTGATCTTCTCCACGTGCTCGGCTGCCATGTTTGTGGGGGCCCCCAGAGCTCGTCCAGGAATTGTAGTCTTCCCCCCTTATCTCTGGGGGTACACCCTATGACCCCTAGTAGATGCTGGAAACATGACAGTAGCAAAGTCCTAGGCGTATATACTAAGCCTTTCCCTCTACAAACACACCTGTGATAAAGCTTAGGCCAGTAGTCCAGCAGGTGGCGTGGTAGTTAAGGCACTGGGCGCCCATGTGACTGACCATGGTTTGAGTCCCGGACCTGGTGGCTTGCTCTCTCACTTTCCTTCTCTTTCTGTCTCTCTAGCAAATTAAAAATAATTCTTTACAATAACTAATTAGACACAGTAGGAAACTAACAGTACTAAAAACAACACAGTGTAATACAAGTTCTGTGAGTGTGATTCTGCTCTCTCAAAATACCTTCCTGCACTGGCCTCACCTTTCAGACCACCACTGACCACGGCGCCCTGAGCTCGCCGAGGGAGACTGCGACAGGGGTCCTGCGCTTGCTCACATCCTGGGGTTTCTCTATGGAGCTGTTGGCCTTTTCTCCACAGCCTTGGAGGTATTCCTTACTTTGTAAAGAAACGGACCTTTTATTATAAAATGAGTTAGACATTTGTTTTCTAGTTTGTCATTTGTCTTTTCACTTCTATGTTAGCTTTGCTCGTACAGAAACTTCAAAAAATTAATTTTTATTATTTTGCTATAGGGTGTATCTGTCTCTGGAGAGAAGGAAGGGGGGAGAGAGAGAGAGAAAGTGAGAAATCGCCCTGGGGGGATGCCATGCCGCAATCCCTTCTCTCCTGTTCTTTCATGATTTGCGGCATGCACACAGCCCTGGTGTGTTTTTCGAGTCACCAGGCCTGGGGCTCAGACCACTCGGTCATGGTGGGCTTCAGCCGTCTTCACCACCACGCCACTGGCTAGCCAGGAAATTTGGTTTTATACCTGAACGCACTCAACTTCTCTTGTAGAGCTTCTGAGTTTTGTCAGGCTTAGAAAGACCTCTTCTCCTAAGGTTTCTTTTTTTTTTTTTTGCAGGGGGGAGTACAGGTTTTTGTCTTAGGGCATGTGCTCTTAGGGTGCATGCTCTCGCCAGAGGGAGAGAGAGAGAGACAGAGACAGAGACAGTGAGAGGGAAAGTAAAAAAACTACTCCCCAGTGGGGACGACCACGCCACAATCCCTTCTCCTCCTGGGGATCTTGGGCATGCGCGCGTGCACATACACACGTGCACACGCACACACACCTGGCGTGAGTTTCAAGCCACTGGATCCAGGACTTGAACAGCGGTCGGCCATGTGGGAATCCAGCAACATAACCACTATGCCATCTGTTGGCCCTTCCCAAGATCTTTTTTATATTCTTTTTACATTTCCTTCCTGTAATCTTAGAGTCTCTTTCTTTATAACGAAGTCTCTCACCCACCTGGCATTTATTTTGATGTCAGGTGTAAGCGGGAGGAGCCAGCCTTACCGTTCTCCAGGCACTGAGCTGTCCATTTCTGGGACGGGCTGTCTTTGCCCCACCAAGATGGTACTACCTCTGGTGTGGCTTTTGTCCGGCCTGTCTATTCTACTGAGGTGGGTATTACTCAGCCTCACTTTAGACATCTGGAAAAGTTAAAGACCTTGGGTCTGCTCATGAGACCACCACCCAGTGGACCCTGCAGCCAAGCTGTAATGACTACGAGCTGCAGGCACCTCCCCAGGGCCCGCGCAGTGACAAGGACCGTGCACCTGAGGGAACCCAGGTGAAGACAGCCCTGGAGCCAAATTGGAAGCGCCTCTGCTTGGAGAGGGAGCATGAGGGAGCCTGGGCCCCACTCCAGGTCTGACGCCAGCTCCTGAACTCCCCAAATCTAGGTTCTGATGGGAGAGGCAGAGGCAGTGGCCACCAAGACTGCTTACCTGACGAGGACACCTAGGTGAGACCCGGGCCAGCGTCTAATAGGGCGGCCCCTGGAACTTTTATGAACTCTCCCTGTAACCCCGACATTGTTTCCCAAATCTGCCCCAGCTTTTAGGGTAACCCTAAAGCTGAACTGGAGTATGACAGCCAAGACCACCAGTTCCAACAGGAGACAGGCTCTTCGTTCACCACAGCCCGGCCACAGAGCTTGGAGGGAAACGACATGAAATGAAGGCGAACAGTGGCCGGAGCCCATCCCGGGGCACAGCGTGCCCTGAGGCCCACACCAGCCGCACTGCCGTCCTGCAGAGGCGGTCTGTGCGGTGAGCACCTGGAGCTGCACATCTGGAAGGGGCAGACACGGTTCTGGAAGGAAGTGAGCACCCGCTTTACCCAGGGAGGAAGGCCCACCGCCTTTCAGAAGCTCTTCACAGAGAGGGAGAGGGGGAGAAGCGCCTTTCCACTTCACCCCCTACTGCGGGGTTTGCGAAAGCGTCTGCATGCCCGGCCCGTGCTAGGTTCTTAGTTAACCAGGAGCGAGCAGTCAGTACAGCAGCCCGAGCACTCGCAGATAGAAAAGTTCTTAGCTGTAAATAAGCGTCTGGGTCAGCTCTAGGGAGCAGCGGTCAAGAACTGTGCAGATGAACCTGGGTCCCATACAGCTGACCAGGGTTTGAATCCCAGCCCCAGTGGCTTGAAAAACTGGCTAGAAGTGCTTAGCCCAGGATCCTGACGGGAGGGCAAGTGGTGGGGTAGGCTGGCCCTGCAGCCTGGCTCCTGAGTCTCTGTCCTTGGCCACGGCTTACCTTCAAGAACTCAGTGGGTGGCAAGAGTCCATGAGGTCACTGAGCTCTGGGTCCAGTTCCAGGGCACCTTTTCCAGGCTTTGTGGGAGAGGCGACCTAGGGACTGCTCATGAGACTATCACCCAGTGAGCGCCCCTGGGCTCTCCACAGAGATGCCAGTAATGCTGGGTCCCGGCCACGTCCTGGCTGGCGGGGCCCTTTCACTCACTGCCTGAAAGCACTCTCTCAACAGCTCTTCTCGATGGGAGCTGCCCAGTTACACAGAGACGAGGCTCAGCCAGCGATGCGACTTGCCCGAGGTCACAGAGCCCGTGAGTGGCTAGGGGACAGTTAAGCCTCTGCCTGAGGAACTCACTCACGCTGCAGGCTCTTCTGCTGGGCTAACTGAGGTCTGTCAGAGAGGGCTCACCATGGGAAGGAGCAGGCGGTGGAGCAGGAGACGCAGCCCTGGGGCACGTCGCTGCTGAGTGCATGCCTTCCCCTTCCTGCAATCTCCCACCCCTCTGTCCTGTCCTTCCCCTGGGAACGCCTTCCCTCCACCTCTGTAGGGAGGCCATGTTTCTCCTGTTTAACTGTACAGAATTTGCTTCTCGATGGCTCTCTGGGGCTGGACCACAGCACACCTTGGAGGTGAGAGGATGGGGCCAAGGCCTCTGGGTGAGGAGAAACAGCTCCAGGCTGTAGGCCCGGGTCTCTGGATATGCTTCAGGCCAGGGAAACGGATCCAGGGGAGACTGT